GAGCAGCTGGTGGATTCAAATGCTGACCTTTTGGTTAGCAGCCAAGCTCTTAACCACTGCACCACCAGGGCCCCTGCGCTTCACTACTTGCATAAAAGTTCTGCCTCTGGTCAGTGGGGCTATGTACATTATTTTCACCCTGAAAAACTGAGAGGTAAGGCAAATTCACTGTACGAAGACACTATTGTTAAAATCATCAGTATCTTTACCACAATAAACAGCATTTATTGAATGCTTAAACCAAAATCAAACCAAACCTGTTGCCGTTGAGTCGACTCCAACTCATAGAGACCCTACAGGACAGAGCAGAACTGCCTCACAGGGTTTCCAAGGAGCAGCAGGTGGATTTGAACTGCTGACCTTTTGGTTAGCAGCCAAACTCTTAACCACTGCACCACCAGGACGAACTGAATGCTTAGAATTAAATTCTCACAACATCCCTATGAGGTTTGCTTGTTTTACAAATGAGGAAAATAAAGCATAGAAAGACCAAATTACTTTCCCAATCATAGAGCTAATAAATGGTGGACCTATAACTGATCTCAGGCAGCTTGACTCCAGGGCTCACACTCCTTTTCAGCACGCTAAACTGCTATAGGTGTAAGCTAGCAATCTTGGCCTGTGAGTCTGAATGTGCGTACGTGTGTATGAAAGTAAATGTGGATACACTCTTAAAGTTGAATTGCTTTTCTGAATTCTTATTGGTTTTGTTTCACTCTAGTACAATTACAGGCAATGAGAAAAGAGAATTGGTTATGCAGTTGATTTTAGGTAGCATAAAAGCCTACTGTTATTTGTCATTAAGTCGATTTGAACTCATAGCAACCCTGCATGACAGAGGAGAACTGCCCCATAGGGTTTCCCAAGCTGTAATCTTTATGGGAGCAGATAGCCAGGTCTTTTCTCCCGAGTTACTGCTGGTGAGTTCTAATCACTGACCTTTCGGTTAGCAGCTGAACGTCTAACCGTTGCACAACCAGGGCTCCTTAAAAGCCAGTTACTGTTACCCAACTGTAAAACTGACTCGACTAGAATTAGAAAGTCTTCCACTCCCATTTTAGGCTATGACTCACATGATCAGAAAACCAAAATTACCATAACAAAATTTCTGGAAAGACACTTTGTGCCTCATTTTTCTCACCTAACATTGTATCTTCAAATCTCTGAAAAATGGATTTGTTTCTTAGGGCTCAAGTAAAACTAATCTTGCCAAGTGATCAATAATGTCTTGGTTGTTAAATCAAACAGATGCTTTTCAGACCTTAGAATTAGCCTCTGATAGCAACATATTGCTTTGGTTAGCAGCAAAGACTAATGGGAATACAAATCACAGCTCAGCCACTTACCAGCTACTTACCTTGAATGGACTACTTAATCTGTGTTTTCCCAACTAAAAACAGGAATGATACCTACATATAAGGTTCTTCAGCGCCCTGGTGGCACAGTGGTTTAAGTGTTTGGCTGCTAACCGAAAGGTCGGCAGTTCTTGTCCACCAGTTGCTCCTTGGAAACCCTACAGGGCAGTTCTACCCTGTCCTACAGGGTTGCTATGAGTTGGAACAGAACTCAGTGGCAATGGGTTTTTGGTTTTTTACAAGGTTCTTCAATCTGTATGCCAAGCAAATAATATGAAAAGCTGGACTATATGAAGAACGAGACATCAGGATTGGTGGAAGACTCATTAACAACCTGCGATATGCATATGACACAACCTTGCTTGCTGAAAGTCAAGAGGACTTGAAGCACTTACTGATGAAGATCAAAGACTACAGGCTTCAGTGTGATTGTATCTCAACATAAAGAAAATAAAAATCCTCACAACCAGACCAATAAGCAACTCACGATAAACAGAGAAAAGACTGAAGTTGTCAAGGATTTCATTTTATTTGGATCCACAATCAATGCTTGTGGAAGCCGTAGTCAAAAAATCAAACGATATATTGCAGTGGGCAAATCTGCTTTAGAAGACTTCTTCAAAGTGTTTAAAAAGTAAAGATGTCACTTTGAGGACTAAGGTGAGCCTGACCCAAGCCATGGTATTTTCAATCATCTCATATGCATGTGAAAGCGGGACAATGAATAAGGAAGACCAAAGAACTATTGATGCCTCTGAGTTACGGTGCTGGCGAAGAATACTGAACATAACATGTACTGCCAGAAGAACAAACAACTCTGTCTTGGAAGAAGTACAGCCAGAATGTTCCTTAAAAGCAAGGGTGGCGAGACTTCATCTCACTTACTTTGGATATGCTATCAGGAGGGATCAGTCCCTGGAGAAGGATATCATGCTCAATAAAGTTGAGGTTCAACAAAAAAGAGGAAGACCCACAACAAGATGGATTGACACAGTGGCTGCAACAACGGGCTCAAGCATAACAATGATCATGAGGATAGTGCAGGACCAGGCAGTGTTTTGTTCTGTTGTACACAGGGTCACTA